TTTATTCTTATATTAAAAGTTTCTTATGATCGGTTAACGAGTCTCCTTCGATTATGATGGTTCGAAGGGATATTAAATATCTCACATAAATTTCCTTTCATTTAACGGTATCGTTCGTCAAAATTACTTTGGGACCTCCCTTCGAGAGTCTGGAGTTAAATGTCTTTGCTCGGAGCTAACAGTGCTGTTTGACATACTCTTTTCATCTCTTAAGTTCATTTATAACTACAAGTTGCAATATGTCCATACTTTTAGACCATATCACTAGAACCTCAAATTCCTAGCCCCAAGATTCTCCAATGTCAATATTTCCAAATTCTTAGACCATGGACAACCAACTCTGTCTACTGTTCAATGCTGAAATTCGCATGTAGTACAAAATCGATATCATTTTTATCGTGCCAATTATTGCCATTCGGATCAGCATTGGACATCGCTGAATTTACAGAGTCCTGTCGAATATAACGACGGCGTAGTTTGCTGGATGAAATCGTGACATATCGGAGATTCAGACAAGACATTTTTTGCCCGGATCAAACAGTAATACTTCATCGTGGACGAGTTGGAACGTTGTTCATTGTCGTCGACCTTGATTATCGGGTTCTTGGGTTGCTGGCTCTCCTGAATCACTCGTAGCCATTTAATCCTGACGGTCGACGGCCATGCGTTCTCGTTTGACAGTCGATGCGATTGCTTTTACTCGTAGTGACAAAGCTCGTAAAGCACGGCAATCGTAAACGTTCGGGCAATTATATAACAACCATTATTTTCGTGCCTTTACGATGGAATTACGCTCTTAGCTCGTAACTCGATCGCTCGCGAAACTCGTAAAGCTTTGTGATGCATCGATTCGCAGTTTGCTTCGAAACGATGCGACACTGGAATCTGGGCAAACAGGGCATCGAGTATCGGTATAAAAATCGTCTGGTCATGGTCGTAACGAAGGCGGTCTGTTTGTTACCGACGATGTCTTTGTCAACACGTTAATTGCCTTAACGATGATTAAAATTGCATGTTGGCAGCTGCTACTTTATTCGAAAAATATCGCTTATAACTTTCGTGACTTTAATTGTCCAAAGAAATTATGTCTTTTCCCTTTGAAGCAGAAATTTTACGAGTTTAGTCAGAAAAGAGTAACCTTACTGTTTAGGTGTCAATATGGATCTAACTCGTGACCGCATTCTGATAATATCGAGAAAAAAGATTGGCACAAAGAACCGATTCGTCCTGGAATTACGCTCTACTTGATTTTCACGCGTACGTTTCGAGATGGTGTACCGTGCCCTTTTGGCCTTTCATAACGGGAACGAGGTCTGTGCAATTCCCTCGTCTGCCCTATATACCGATATTGCGAGTTCCATATAGCGAATTCGTCTTTGAAATCTCGCGACAGACGGGGAGGTAAACATCTGACAGTTTTGGTGAAAAGTGTGTTGGCACGTGCTGTTCATTGTACTTACAAATCGGCTGGATGAACAGGGTCTTGTAACAATAAATTTATATACCTAAACCGAGGTTTTGAATAATGAAAGGAGGCTCACTTTATAGAATCTCCTAACCCAGTACGTCAAAATATTTACTCCACAGGTTTACAAAGTTTCAAACTTTTCGAAAGAATTAATGATAAGTAGCCTTATTCGCGAATTTCCAGTCATAGGCACAGAAGTACCCTTCGTTTCAACGCGAGTATTTTCAGGAAGCAAGGAGGGTAATAACTAGCCAGTTACAGAACTAGGTACCCTGCCGCTAGAACAATGCTGTAATTTCCTCTCTCGTGAGACGGGGACGCAGAAAAGAGGTCAGACTTAAAACAGTCGACACCCTACTCGAGGTCTCATTAGCTTAGCGCGAGTGCTGCGAACGAATCTCGCGATCTAAAATATTTACGAGTCGCTCGCTGGTCGACGGTAGCTGAAATTTTCAATGCGCTCATCGTCCCGGGAAGAGAAATTCGGCTTCCACAGTCGTCGCTTGCGCTTCGTTAAACTTTCATTCGCCGTAATGATCCTTCTACTCTTCTTTCGAGTCTTTGAACGGTCCTCCTCCTTATCGTGTTTGAGCTGGCTACCGGTTAACGAGTTCGCGTCTCGATGGGATTACGCGTGCGTTCCGCAAAGAGGAAATTGATCAACGATGTTTCGCGCGAATTAATTAAGAACACGTTATGCGAGGGAATCTCGGATATGTCCTATCCTTGAGCTCCTTCGTTCTGCAATTAGTTCGTTGGATGACGCGGAGCCCGGTGTTACAGGCTGCTCTCAATTTATGTCAACGAGAATTTCATTCGCGTAATTGTAATACCCCCAGTCTTTCGTCGTGATTCGGATAGACGCTAATGAATGCGATGCTTGACACGCGAATCGTTGTAACCGATCAATTTCCGACGCCTTAACGCGCGTTACCTAAACGCGCGTCTCGGGAGGGTCTGCTTAAGCTAGCTTTTACGAGCCTTTTTCTCGGATATAATTTGTGGCGGGATTTCATACGGATGTTCCAGATACGGACGCATGAAATATAGTGCATCTTAATCCCTTCTGGCCGTGCGGGATAAATTTCAGAGGCAACTCCAGGAATCGAGTGGAGAAATTCATGGCATTTGTTGCTAAATTCTGCAAAAATTGTTCTCTCTAAACTCCCTGTTGGCGTAACTTAAATATAAAGTCGGATTGGGTTTCAAATAAAATTATATCGATCCCAAGTATTTTCGCCTTTGCGTTATTTAAAACAGTTTGCTCGGTACTATTTGTGACTTGGCAAGAATAAAATGTAATGGAACTTGCAGCGTCCAAAAGTTCTATATTCGGAAGAAAGTGGGTGAAGTGTTGTGTCGAGGAATGTTTAATAACAATTGTTTAAATGAAAAATGCCCTGGTTATTTCAAGAATGTAACTTCGATTTAACCCTTCCGCTCTGACGCACTTGTTCTGAAACGTGCTCGCTACGAAAGGAACAGGTTGGCATTGATGCACCGTGTTACGACGCACGATTGCGTCTTGTGCGCTACAAATTTCGTGACAGAAAATTACCACGGTAATCGCGTTTCGAAGAACTGGATTAGATCTGTATTTTAAACGTAATTGACTATAATTGTATTTTGAAGGCAAACTTTGTTTCAATACGGTATTAAGAAATATTTGAACACGGTAGTTTTCGTAGAATTTTCAAGAGCTCTTCGAGGGCGCAAATATTCTGCGAATCCGTTTATTCTTCGAGGGCACATATTCGCTTTTCAGTAGCTAAAATAATAAGGGACCTCTTCGAAGAAAAGGACCTATTTCAAGGAAGGCGGGTTTATATTATCTTTTCATCTTTATTACCGATAGCTATGAATGCGAACGAAGCAAAGAGTCTCTTATCCAGATTACGATGCCTCTATATTAATTCGGATAATGGAGACTCTGCTATAATGAACGCTTTATTAACTGAGAATATCCATTAACCCAGCGATCGTATTCTAGTATCGACGTTAAAGCACTTGACAAGTGGTTTACACAGTTATTGAACATTGCTCGAAACGAAGAAGGCTGCCCATTGTGTCTGAAGCTCGACAAGAGACCTCCTAGTTCCCTACACGTATCTAAAGCTTGCTAAGCGAACCGCAGCCTAAAACTCGGTACACAAATGCAGAGCTCCCTGAAGCTCGTCAGCTGATTCTCCGGAAACGATCGATAGTGCGGATCGAAAAAATGAGGATGATGCTGATCTCGAAGGTTCGGTAATTTAACCAAACATGAGTTTCCATTAGGCTAATAAAAGGTAAAGAGAAAACGAAGGAAGCGATTGGTTAGTCTTGGAGGTCTTGTAAGTATTCATCCGGTGAATAATATCGCTGTCGATTTCAGGCCGTGGATGGCGGCAAAGCGGATTGGCAGCGGAAGGGTGTACAGGAGGCGCGTGGAGGGCGAGCCGAAGGCGGATAACAGGGTTGTAGTATCTAGGTGGCGCAGCTGCGAGCAGAAAATCGATACTTATCGTCTCCGACGGACGGCAGGTCGACTTTCCAGTACGCGGCTCGTGTGCACGAGGTAAACACGGCTCCCATGGCAATTAGCACGGAATGATACGAGGAGAAGCCTTCCAGTCCGCTTCTCTTCTCCATTCATCATGGTACGTTCGATAAACAAACGAAATCAAATGGAAAGCAGAAGGATCTTCCGAGACGTAGAAGAACGAACGTGGACGAGCGACGGGACCGGTTGACTGTCGGTGAATCAACCGCTACCAGTGACGAATCGTCAAGCCAATCGTTGTCGATGTTCGTTCGCATGACCACGAGAGATATTATCGTTTCTTTTTCTCTCTTATGTGCAGTACGGTTTTGTGAATTACGCCCTTGAGCTGCTGGTTATGAAGACCTTTGGGAGACTCTGCTATAATGAACGCTTTATTAACTGAGAATATCCATTAACCCAGCGATCGTATTCTAGTATCGACGTTAAAGCACTTGACAAGTGGTTTACACAGTTATTGAACATTGCTCGAAACGAAGAAGGCTGCCCATTGTGTCTGAAGCTCGACAAGAGACCTCCTAGTTCCCTACACGTATCTAAAGCTTGCTAAGCGAACCGCAGCCTAAAACTCGGTACACAAATGCAGAGCTCCCTGAAGCTCGTCAGCTGATTCTCCGGAAACGATCGATAGTGCGGATCGAAAAAATGAGGATGATGCTGATCTCGAAGGTTCGGTAATTTAACCAAACATGAGTTTCCATTAGGCTAATAAAAGGTAAAGAGAAAACGAAGGAAGCGATTGGTTAGTCTTGGAGGTCTTGTAAGTATTCATCCGGTGAATAATATCGCTGTCGATTTCAGGCCGTGGATGGCGGCAAAGCGGATTGGCAGCGGAAGGGTGTACAGGAGGCGCGTGGAGGGCGAGCCGAAGGCGGATAACAGGGTTGTAGTATCTAGGTGGCGCAGCTGCGAGCAGAAAATCGATACTTATCGTCTCCGACGGACGGCAGGTCGACTTTCCAGTACGCGGCTCGTGTGCACGAGGTAAACACGGCTCCCATGGCAATTAGCACGGAATGATACGAGGAGAAGCCTTCCAGTCCGCTTCTCTTCTCCATTCATCATGGTACGTTCGATAAACAAACGAAATCAAATGGAAAGCAGAAGGATCTTCCGAGACGTAGAAGAACGAACGTGGACGAGCGACGGGACCGGTTGACTGTCGGTGAATCAACCGCTACCAGTGACGAATCGTCAAGCCAATCGTTGTCGATGTTCGTTCGCATGACCACGAGAGATATTATCGTTTCTTTTTCTCTCTTATGTGCAGTACGGTTTTGTGAATTACGCCCTTGAGCTGCTGGTTATGAAGACCTTTGACAGCGAGACGTGGGAGGCGATAAAGTAGGTAAAACGTGGGCGCGCGCGGTCCGCGACGCGCCGACTCTGATCATCTCTTTCTTCCTTTATCCTTGCGACACTATTTTGCCTGTTTTTATCGCATTTCCATTTTGCATGAGACACGTTGCTGTTCGTTTGGGCACCGGACTACGTTTCCTGAATTTTATACGGACATTGTTGTTAAATAACACGCGTTGCCGATCCCTCGAGGAAGCTTAGCCCGGACCACGTGGTGCGCCTCCATGCTTGGCCAGTTTTATTTGGTTGTCGACTCGCTATATAGGCTAGGTTCGATGCATCCGTGACCTGAATCCCTCGCGTACTTTAATTGAAATTTCACTGGCCTCGTTGGGACTTTTCTGCCCTTTCCTTCCCCTTCGCGTCGCCCGCGATACCAGACGGAATTTATATTGAATTTTCTGTACGACGTGACCCAATACAAATCGGAGGAATGATTGAATTTCTGATTCCGTGGATTCTCGACGGCACGTTGCGCGCGTCAGGCGTTTCAACCCCGTGTTTCCATCGCGTGCTGGATTAAATTCGATAAATTTTCGATAACAGATGCGGTGTTCGGCGTCAATAAAGAGTTCAACAGCAGATTATTCGATCGACGATTTTTCCAAAAATCAATTTTGCTCGAACGTTTCTGCAAGAATTCCAGGAACAGATTTTTCCATGTAACTTTGTCAATACTGTACCAAAAAATAAAGCAAAAATGTAGTATATTAAAAAGTCTGAAACTGTTTTATTAAAAACTTAGAAAATATGAAACGCGAAGCGAACGTTGCAGCTATATTTGCAATTCAGAATACCTCCCTTTATGGATACAAGCCTGATATTGCATTTATTGCAAATCGAATTTTGTCGCAATTTTGCTGATTCTCTCTGATTATACACTTTGTTGCACCGTTCGTATTTTTTACAACCGCAGAATGTGCTGACATATTTTCGTATTCTCGTGTTTATATGTTTCATCGTAAAACATACTGACATCGTTTGTCCGAAAGAAGCATCGAATACTTTGTATACGCAGACGATTTCTTTCCCTCGTAAAAAGCGTAACGTTGGACAGTTTGACGACAGTGAGCAGCAAATTCTTTCTTTTCCCGTTTCTTATCGGATCAACAAGTTTGCGTAATAAACCTGTGTTTACCTGATCCTCGAAATCTATCGATTCGCGAAACAACGAAATGTCGGTACGCGTCGAGGTTCTTAAATTCAGCAGACATGTTTACCGATCATCCTCGAGGAACCGTTCTGCTTATTCGCGATCTCTTTCAAAAGTTGCAACGGTTCGCTGGCAAACCGCAACAACGCAAATAAAAGAACGCGGAGAAGTGAAACTTTTTACGTTCACGACGAAAAAGCGTAACTGCTTGGATAGGTTCCTTTTTTCAGATGAAAAACGTGACTTCGAGTTTTAGCTCTCCGAGATCGTTATCCTTTCGCGAAATTCTCTTCCGTGGACTGCGAAATCTATAAAAAGGAAAGAACGCTGAATACTTTGCGTGTAACGAAAGTTTATGCGGCGTTAAACACGCGAAATTGTCGCGGAACGCGTGCTTCAGGGAACGATCTTCTCCGCGGAGAGCGAGAGGACAACGAGACCCGCATGACTTTTAGTCTGAATAAAGTTATTCAGAAAAGCTCGCGTAACCTCGCCAACTTCCTCTCTTGCATTTCTTTGCTCGCTTCCAGGATTATTGCTCGTCCGGAATAATGTAATGGGTAAGCTACGCGGTTTACCGAGATTTAATTGAAAACCCGGCTAGGGACTTTGTGTAAAGGAATTTATTGTTGCCGTGGCCCAATGGGATTAGTGTCCTTTCATTTTGTTGAGGGACTCTTCCTTAATTTCTGTCTAAAGACTTTTTAGAACTTCCGTGCAGTATCAAAATTTGATTGTGTAGATAATTTTAACAAGACAATTATATAAACTAATATTTAATGAAGTTATAATTTTACATTTTTTGAAGGGATATTGAAGGACGGAAATTGAAAGCTTTGTTTGATTTCCATCTGCTATCGAATCTATTTGCATTTAATTATGAATATCAACTTTACAGTATTGGAATTAAGTGATATTTCTTTTGAAGTAGAACAAGCCAAAGTTTCACGGGATGTCGAAGACACGTGGAAACATCAAATGTGGGTTAGCGAAATGTGATGACCCTTAAATGCTCGGATGAAGAGGGTCACTTCGACAGCTCCAAATGACCTTTCGCACCCTGTCTATCACAAATATAATTTTGAACTTTCTGCTAGTTTATTTGACTTCTCGGACATGACCACGTTATCAGATCCCTAAATTCTCAAACCTTAAACTGGTAATTTCAAATATATTTCATAAGTCATGTCAAATGTGCAAGTCCTCTTTAATAGTGGCAATATAACAAGATTGTTTCTACTCCACTTAAATTCCTACGTGCATGTATCACACAGTATACATATGCAAAGCGATTAGTGTATAAAGTACCTCTTCCCAATTCAAGAATAAAATTTAGTAAAATAAGAAATTCCCTATTCGATAAATTTTTGATTCCTAAGAAGAAAACTCCACATCGACGAAGATTTCTGTTCTCTCGACTGCTAATATTTCACGGCCAATTTAAAATCTTGGTTCGAAGGTGCAGAGAATTATGTAAAAATACCGCGGGAAAAGTGGAGTGACAGGTCATATCCGCCAAACACCGAAGCACCTCTAACCTGCAATTTGTAAATTTAATAGAAACTACCACAAGCGATCGACGAGCTGTTAAAATCTCCTGGAAGAAACATTTACTTTGTTTGACGCGTGAGACTAATTAACTTTGCTGTAAAACTTTTCCTTAAATTAATGTATTATATCTCGATAAACAACCCCTTAACTAATTACGTAGCCACGTTTCCTGGCGCTCTTATTCTATCAGCAGAAAACGAGCAGTCTTCATTAATTAACTCGGTTATTCAATGTTGCCTTTGAATGTTATACTTAATTATCTTTGAGCAATTATGCTATATTTCGTTTAATTAGGAGTTTTTCAATATCCAGGTTTTGTAGATATTTCGTTGAAATTAATAATTGTATATGCTCGTTCATTTTGTACTTATTTATTTGTAGTTTATTTGTACTTATTATTTGTTTAAGATAAGTTTTTATGATAGTTGAACATTTTTTATTTGTATTTCTTTTTGTACTAGAAGACATGGAATGGTGCATGATTGTGTACGAAGTAGATGTAACTAAATCATTGTTCATTAACATTTGATTAATATAGAAAAGATGCAGCCGTTAATATGGAAGGTCAGTTCCTGGTGCGCCAGATTTATGACGACGAGATTACCTACAACATTATATCGGCAGCTGTCAATCGACTCAGTACGTATACATTTCTATACAAACAGGAATTGCAATATGCTATGTCGAACATGGTTCATGAATTTCGAATGTAAACCGTGCCCCTTTCCTTTGGACTACCGGTGTAACAACATATCAGGATTAACGAAAGTCCCTTGTTCGTGTTCCAAATTAGAGGCCATCAAACACGAGAGATTTGCAAGATACTCCTCTACATTCGATGTATAAATTCTGCTCAACATTTCACGGAAATTAAGGTTCAAATTTTATCAAAATTAATGAAATTCTTCACTCTTCATTTTTCACCCCTTTGTGATACATTAAAAAATATACGAAAAACATTTTTCGTAATAATTTCGTTGATCTACCCGTTTCATCTTTATCTTAATAATTATTTTATCGTCTCTCTCTTCCCTCGCGTTTAATATCCTCCTCTTTAGAATCCTCCGCGATATTTAATCAGACTAATGTTTTACCATTCCGCTCAACCGTACTCTACTCTCGTTTGACCATCCTTTGACGTAATTAATTTTTACAATCCGCCATGTTCTCCGAATCGAAAACAAAGCTTTCGTCTAGAGTTTCTTCGCAAATGCTCCGTGAAATAGAGGATTCTACGTTCGCCAAACAAAGAATCAAACTCCCCCGAACTTTCACCCCACTAATCCACCCTGGAGGTAGCCACTGAAAGAGTAATACGTTTCAAAGCATCGACTCGATAATTGATCCCCGATAAAATGAGAAAATACTCTCCTCCACGGTTAGATTACTTCAAACATTACTCTGTTACCTAGCTACCTAGCTAACAACGCTATCATGTATACAAACAGTATACCTCTTTATCCACGTCAGCAACAAATTTAAGAAATTTAAGATCTCAAAATTCTACAGAAAATTGTCTCTTATCGAAATCAATTTTGCTGAGATGGGATAATAAATACTTTATACGAGTAATGGAAACTTTGAACAATACTATGAAGTCTTATCTGACTGGAAATTAGTCAAAGCATAGTAAATAATTCTCTATGTCAACTTCGATACGATAACTCTCTCGTACAAATCACGTTTGATCTAAAATTTTCCAGACATTCCAGCAAATGAGATTCTGGAGCTGTTCGGTCGAATGTTCTTCGAGTTCTGTCAGGACTCCGGCTACGACAAGATACTTCAGGTGCTCGGAGCGACGCCCAGGGACTTTTTGCAGGTAAATCACGGTTCGATACGGTTGTCCGCTCGTCCGCCATTTACTTTCGAGGCGATTCGTGAAAAATAAAATCTGCCTGAGGGCGATGCGTTCGGTATTCCAACGATTCCGCATGGTCGAAGTGAAAGTTTTGAAACGATGACACGCGAACAAATCGACATCCGTTGCGGGTACTTCGATGCGCATGTTAGAAAGTTGCAAAAGAGGAAAAGAATTTCTCAATCCGTGACAGAGGCTCTGTAAATTAACTCGTTGTCTAATAACATCGAATTATGTAACATAAGCATGAGCATTGTTAGACATAAGTAGAACTGGTTAATAAGTTCTGGTTATTAACTGATTATTGACTGGTGCATCAAGAAGTTAGGGGACGTCATAAATTTATTTATCAACTCTGAGTAATTTAATGAAGAGAACTATCCTACTTCAAGTTGCAACGACACATAAGTAAATTTATGTAATATTTGTCACATAGTGTTAGTTGTGACATTTGTATATCTGAAGGGCCCTTTGCAAATTGTTCAAAGTTAAACGTTTCACGCAGTTAAATTCCCAACCTTATGTTCCAAGTTCTCGAATGTGAAACTCTCCAGAGTCTTGCAAAGTTCAAAATGTCTAACGTTGAAGATTTAGCGATAGGGCCATATAGCGAGACTGAACTGCGCCATGTCGATATGGTGCATATACCACATCTACCGCAGGGTACATACAAAATGGCGATTCGTAGAGATACAAAGTGAGCGATGATAGATCACCTGGTAGTTGGAATCGCGATTCTGTGACGGGCAGGTAGTCGGTCATTCCTGAGCTACGGTAATCGCTCAATCTTTGTATTCGGTGTCGACGATAAATCAAAGCAACGTCCGAGTTGTCGCGCGGTGTGCACTCGTTTTTACAGAAATCTCGGTCGTTCAATGAATAAAATTAGCGACTGGAACGTCGTCGAGGGACAAGATTATTATCGCCAGGTTTTTCTCGCAATCGGGTTTCATTTCCGGTTCTCCGCGGTGCCTAAAGTCACGTACCGGCCGTTTGTTCTTGTCCCATCGTTACCAGTCGAATTTGCAATTTCGTTTCTTACCTTCCCATTGCTGGATTCTAGAATACGAGCGGGACGTGTCGCGATTGAAATTAATAGCACGGAATGGAAATGAAAACGGGCGAAGAGCGTCGTAACACGAAGCGAGTAGCGCGCTAGTAGCTTGGTTAACCTCGTTACATTCGTGAAACGATGATCGAAAACGAATTAGCTACGCCATGTTTTAATTGGCGTTACACATAGTTTAGAATAGTTTGACGAAGGTTTCTATAACGTTTCGTTGCAGAACCTGGATGCCCTTCACGATCATTTAGGCACTTTGTACCCGGGAATGAGGGCGCCCTCTTTCCGGTGCACCGAGAGACCCGAGGATGGAGCGCTCATATTACATTATTACTCCGATCGACCTGGATTAGAGCATATTGTGATTGGCATCGTTAAGGTATTTCCAGCTATCTGAAATTGATACCACGAAAATTCGATGCAAATTTACCATATTTGTTACACACTCGAGCTATTTCTTGATGCTCGGTTTGATTGATCGATATGAAATTGCTACCCAATTGTTTGGGGATGAAATTCTTTACCTCCAAACAAATCAGACCCTCAAGATCTTTATGGATCGTAGACAGTGGCGAAGAAATTGCACGGCACGGATATCGAGATGAAAATATTGAAGACCAAAAACGAGTGCGACCACGTGCAATTTTTGATCACCAACACGTCCGGTCCTGGGGTCGTTTCGAACCCTATGATTGCAGAGTTGGAAACTTTGTCAGTAGGTAAGTAACTTTTCTTTCCTAACTTTCCTTCTATCAAATTGTCGGTATTTATTAATTTATAAAAATATCTAACAAAAGATTATCTTCGACTTTGGTTATTTTGTGCAATCTTTTGTATGTTGAAACTTTTGTGCCTCCCATGAAATGAGAAATTTTTAGTAGAGAATTTTCAAAGAAGATTCATGTATGGAAAGCTTCGTTAAAAATGTGTTACAGAACCAAAAGTGAGTCCCATGACCTTCTGTCGCGTTTTTCCGTTCCACTTGATGTTTAACCGGGACTTGACCATAGTTCAAACTGGATGCACCATAACTCGAGTGATACCGCAAGTGTGCTCCGGTAATTGCAAGTTGAACGACATTCTTCTAACTGTGAGTTCCTATTACAAATTAGAAAATCGTTACACGTTATGAATGCTGAATGCGTTGTTCTGATTTCTGCAAATTATCGCCGCGAAAATATGTGTCAGTAGGTTTACATCACTCATTGTTTCATGAATCTTATGATCACCGGAGTAAAATGATTCCTCTGCACATTGATTATTACAGTGAAAACTACCGTATGGCACACTTTCAGAAGAATTATTGCGAATATGATGAAACAACTTTTCAATTTGATTATTCAATTCTCTGCATCATGCCATTAGTCAAATGGGAGTGCGATTTGGAATACGTTTTCTACCGTCGTTACGGGAGTGATTAAAGTGTTGTCGATGTTATTAGCTTTCTGTTATTAGCACGCGATTTCAGCGTGAAAAATATTAAACCGATACAAATATTATGAACGATATTCGCTATTTGTATTGTATGAATTAGTTTTGAGTATTAATACAAAAATAACAAATGATGAATCGGTGCATGCACATAAATATGATCTCAAGTTCAATCTCGTGGGAAGATACGAGGTGGACACAGACGATAACAAGGAATCGATATTATGTTTTATTCCCGAAACACTGTATTAGTTAGCACGGACCACGAGAAATTGCGTTATTGTGCGCCGCTATCTGGCCACCGCCGATATAATTCGTGCGGATTCATACACGCGTAATCATATATCTTTCAAATGCGGTTTGCTTGACGTGACATGCACCATTGAAACGGAACCATTTAACTTCATTTGCATAGACACCCGCGTGTGCATCCGGGGGCGTAATCAATTATCCACCGGTTATTATTATTCCAGCATCGCTGGCATTCGTGTCCATCTTCATATTTTGTTAAAGGGAGCTGATGCATTGTTATTTTTACACGTTCGAAATAATCTGTTTAACTTCTTTTATTTCATTTCTGAATAAACCTTGACAATATTAATTATCAAATGAATGTTAATTTTAATGGACAAAGTTATATTACAAGATGGTAATTATCAGCATAAATAATCAGTATTGGGAAGTTAACGAGGGTCTCTGCGCCTAATAAATTTTATCGCTCGTGTTTTTCGTGTCTCCAACTAACTGCGAAGCTTTATTCTGCTAGGTCAGACCACATTTAGAGCTGACGTTCGAGAATATATTGTCACACATAAACACCGTGTACGTGCTGCGAACGAAAAAGGGTGTGATGAGGGTCAACGCTACTGAAGAGTACTCCTACTTGCGCTTGAAAGTTGGTATCAATTCCCTAACAGCTATCAACGTTCTGTATTAACAGCAAATATTACAGTATTTAATTCTCACTGTATTACGTATCTTCATAATTTTGTTTCCCTTTCAAATTCAATGAATTTCTAATTTGATCAGTTTCTTAATTTTCAATACCACCTTACTTTTACAATTTTCAGTAATTTTTAAGAATGAAATTTTTTAAACCCATTTCTTACAGGGACAAATGTTGTACATTCCCGAGTCAGACCTAGTGATCTTCCTCTGCTACCCAAGCGTCATGAACCTGGACGACCTAACCAGGTAAGAGTTTCCACAAAATTACCCTCGTCACTCCGGCTATAAAACAGTGGAGACAAATGAGTATCTCGTATGTCCGAACAATTATACACAGATTAATATCGTGTTAATGTTCCTCGTGACAAGCCACGTGGCAATTATCGAATAGTTCCTAAATGGAACTTCAATCAAGCTAAACAAGGTGCATGCACGCTTGTAATCGATAACATGGAAAACACGTTCGCTGCCGTTCAGCATTCTGCAACACCATCGAGGAGGACGCGTAACTCAGAGGAATAAATAGCCGCTGCAAAGAATGCCATTTAACGGGTTTTCGCGGTGAAAAATATTGTTACATCGTTTCAGTTATAAATGAAAGCATCGAATTTTCTCTCTGAATTGACAGGTCAAGTTTCCGTTACTTTAGAACGTCGATTAATTTTGCTATTTGGGAACATTTATCTTTTTATTGTGAAAGACAGGTACATATGAAAATAGATATTTTACAGTAAAACGGGAAGTAGAACGGTATCTGTAATACTGTTTTTATAACAGATTAATAGGAAACGTATTAACAAAAGGGTGACAGGATCACAAAGGGGTAATAAGATAATGAAAAGAAGATGAGATACAAAGATTTTATAGAATTGTGAACTAAGGGAAGAAAAAAGTTTGAGAACGTCTAAATTTATTTCCACGTTTGAAGAATTTTGTAGATCGTAATTTTGAATATTTTCGAATGTTGTGTCTGTCAGGTATGAAATTGAAAGCAATCAATTGGTGCATGCGAACAAAAATGGAAGAAAGAATGCAAAGAGGAGCAGACGGGTAAAAAGAGGAAATGACAACCGGAGCAACAAAGGGCGTAGATTATTCGAACGAGAGCAATTCGGTGACGGCGTGACGAGAATTTATGTTCGCAGTATAGTAGCGGCAGACACGAGAATGGCTGTAATTATGCGAACCATCGCTTCGACATCTATTGGACGGCTATTACCGTTATTTCGCCGACGACAAATATTTTCCGCGCAAAGACAGGGGAATACGTTACGATGAATTAATAGGGTGTATCTACTTACTGGCCACTAAACTCGTTGCGTCTATTTACGATAACGACCCACATACCACGACCGTCCATAACCACTCGTCCACTTACATTTCATTCGATCGTGAATTTTATCGCCTCCCAGAGGAGATACACGTACGTGCTCCTCCATTGTGTAATTTGTTTGTTGAAGATTTACGAAACGACTGACTTCGGTCTAGTGCCATTAATCGTGTTTTAACTTTCACGCCGATATTCTTATGCAATAAATCTTTTTGTAATTCCTTTCTATACATGCCCCAAACAAAGGCTTGCAAAATTCTACTGCTGTTTCATACAATAGAACAGTAAACATCAAAATAACCAAGAAATCTCTTTTATTAATCTTTGGTCTATAAAGAAACTTTTATATCATTTCTTTGCATGTCTAATTAACGTGCACGTGTGATTACATTTTCGAGTGCACGGCCATGTTGCATAACTTTTTACGTACAAGTACGTGATAATTGTAGAAAGAGTTTTAGCCAGATCTTTTATGCAAATGGTGCGACATTTTCGTGCGACGTGTTCCACGGTGAAAATTCGATCACGTAATCGTCCCATTATGAAGTACGGGAATTTAACGCGTCGCGCTTATGGTCGCCGATTAACGCGCGCGTAATTCCGCTGTAGTTGGAAGCAGCGGGAATTCGTTCGAGCAAAAGCGTCGCGCCAGTTAGCGGATAAATTTGATGCTTAATCGAGTCCGCTCTTGTTACGTCGACCGTTAACTTCTTTTTACAATGCGAACCGAATCGTGGCTACCTCCGAGCGTCGAATTAGACGCGAAAGTTGAGCGTTCGAAAAAACGCAACGATGTTTTGCTTCTTCGCGATGATATCGTTACAACTCGCGATTAAATGAAAGTATCGAAGTAATATCGCAGGATAAATTTACAGCGAATGAGCGTTAATTAACAACGAACATCGATTTTGTTTTCGACGCATAACCTTTGCTCTTTAGCCCGAAACCATCGTGAGAAACATGAATTATACATCGATGATTGAATATTCGATTCGAAATGCAACGGATTACTGACGCTGCTGGATAAAAATCGCGTTGTATTTTTAACCGTGATGCTCGGTGGAAATCCTAAATATTCCTTTAACGATGTTCCGTCGATTCGCGGAATTATGTATGAATGTAAAGTGATACTTCGGTTATTTTTAAAATTTTAGCTGCAGTTTGTAGCAGAAACCTGATAAGAACACCTCCTATAAAAAAAGTTACTAACTAAAATTTCTGTGAATGAATCATGAAAATATTTACTCTTGAATATAAAAATCTGGAGATCTAAGTATGTAAGATTATAGAAATCTAACGATCTAACAGACTAGGAATATACATCTCAATGTAAGCCTGCGGTTACAATCAAGGACTCCGAATAATTACAAAAGTTTCTAAATACATAAAAAGTACTCTTGTGGGATGAATAAAAAGAAAGTTGTTCCTCGACGTAATCTCAGGAGGATAATCTTAGTGGTCGCTTGTATAAATTCAAAGAGGCAAGTTGAAAGGGTTTAACCGACTAATTTCGTCTTCCTGACGAAAATTAGAACCAGCGGCAGTTTGCATTTCGTTCTTCCAGGACGTTGAACCCTTGCGTGCTTATATCGCGATTGAACTTCGAATTTATGCAGGGATTCCTTTACCATGGAAACGAGAAATTTCCATGCATTGTGTAATCTAATTAAGCTTCTTTTGTAACGAGCTACCTTCTCACGATGTGACGATTATGTTATCCGTAACAATGTTGATTATTAGCGTAACGGAGATGAGATGTATTCGAGTTTAGAAGCGCGTAGATTGTAGCTATTTATACATACCGATATGTCGAGAGGTTTTTTTGAGAAACAAGGAATCGAGGCATTCCAAGAAGTTAATGAAACTGGGAATTCAACTTTTTAGTATTTTCGCGTTTCTGATTATTAGACGGGGCTTGTATCTGAGCGACATCCCGCTTCACGACGCCACCAGAGATCTCGTGTTGATGTCAGAGCAATTCGAGGCTGATTACAAATTAACGAGAAACTTGGAACTGCTTACCGATAAATTGCAGCAGACGTATCGCGAGTTGGACGGCGAGAAGCAGAAGACCGACAGGTAAGAATTTCCGTCCGCGTAATTTTCTGATTAAGGAGATCCCCATTGGCCTCGTCTGCCATTTATCCCGACGCAATTCTGAGGGGGTCGCTCCTATCTTTCGGTCCAGCGAACTTCTATCTTGACAGGGTACTCTCTCTCTTGTCGGAAATTGGATCGCGATTCTTTCTTTTTTTATCTCCACGAGGGCCGTTTTAGTTTTTTCAAGCGTCGCAAGTTTCCAGGCTCGTTAGGAACCGGGGACACTTCGATGACGATGATCGTAAAGCCAGGATGTTCCGATTTAATTCGGAAACGAGTCTTGAGGGGGATCCGTAAATTAGGGTGAACGCACGAAGGGTCGAGAAAGTCATTAATTTCGCTGGAGAAAAATTGAATAGATATCAGAAATGGATCGCCCGGTAATCGTTCTCCGATAGAATCTTTCCTCTTCTGTCTCAAAATGTTACCTTGTATCGCGTCTGGAAATTCGTAATTCGCGTTAGAAAAGTGCGAACACTTTGAAATATCTTCGACATTTGAAATTCTAATAACTCTTACGAGCCCTTTCAGTCTTTCCCTCGTGTACAGTCTTCTCAAGTCAATGCGCATTCAATATCCTCGTACTTTGTGATACAGCGCGCTTATGGATTAAAGCGAACCATACTGTACCGAGGATTTCCTTTATTGCCACGACCCACTATTCAACCTCGTTTCATTCAGCAAAGTACGTCTGCTATTTTTTTATTAGACGACTTACAATGCTGCTTTTCATATTTATGAGCTTCTTAAATTAACGGTAGGAATAATCTTACCTCAACCTCGGTTCAAAGATTAATCCACGTACATCACCCTAATTATTCTTACATAAAATATACCTTCTCTCTGCATTTCATTAAATGTAATACATAACTTCGACTTAATAGAAAATCTTCTTTAATTTTGTTATTCGACTTCGATACTTAATCTCAGAGAAAAGCAAGGTTACATAAAAACATGTTTTTTTATGTTTAAAACATATGTTTTACAGAAAACACATATGTGTCTTTGAATATGTGTTTTTACAAAAAACATATGTGTTTGAACAATTACGAGTATATGAAGATCATGTAAAGATGTCTACACTAAATGTAGATCAAGTTGGTCAAAAAGTTTTGCAATCTCGTGTCGTACAACGAGAGGGTAGCAGTATCCGCGAAATTGCACAGGCGGCAGTATAACGAGAGTCCACTGTAGTCCACTAATAGTTGCTCGTATTTCGTAGATTGCTGTACTCGGTGCTGCCCATTTCCGTGGCGAACGAGCTCCGACATTCCAGGCCAGTTCCAGCCAAGAAGTACGACTGCGTGACCCTGTTGTTCTCCGGAATTGTCGGTTTCGGTGCTTACTGCGCTGCTCACACGGATTCCAGCGGTGCAATGAAGATTGTCAACATGCTCAATCAGCTGTACACCGCGTTCGACGTGCTCACCGATCCCAAGAAGAATCCCAACGTGTACAAGGTGAGAGTTAACCGGGCGAGGTACCTACGTCCATCTTGCGTTTCACGTGTGTTTGTATTTTTGAAAGGCAACTTTCGTGCCGCGATGAAAGTTCCTCGGTCGCGTAACGTGCCGTTTAAAATACATTGATCAGTGGCTGGAACGCGGACTGTCATTGTCCGCGAGGTTGCATATTTAAATAATAACGCTCCCGGGAAAGAGAAACTCTGCCTCCTCCAGGTTTCGACCTAGGTGCATAATTGTTCAATGGAACCAGGGTTACTTGAGCGTCTTTCAGAACTCGTTTGCACATGGTATCTTGAATAATTTTCCTGATAACACCTTTAGAACCTTCGTACCTTGTACGATCCATGTGATCGAAATTTTTAAACACTCAATTTTCATTCTCAGCAACCTTTAATATTCCCAACAAAATCCATTACAATTTTCGAATTTATGAATCTGTGGATTCAGAGTTAATAACCAGTAATCGTTGATAATCCCGCATTAAGCTAATTTTCCGTAAACAGAGCTAGAAAGTTCTGCCGAATAATATTATTGATTTGAAGCGGGGTAGTTAGAAAGCTAAAGTAGGGTTCGCGGTAACCAGTGTGTAAGAGACAACAGATATATTTGAATTTACGAGGTTTGTTAGCACTGATCCACTTTGGTCGGACTAGGTCGAAACTGTTGGTGACAAATACATGGCCGTGAGCGGATTACCGGAACCATGTCGTTGCCATGCACGATGCATCGCCCGCCTAGCGCTAGATATGATGGATCTTGCTGCGGATGAGGTGCAGATCGATGGCGAGCCTGTGGTAAGTACCTCAATTCTTTACCTGCACTTTTTCCCGGCTCAAATTTTACACTTTCCTGGAAAATCTCGTACGTATCTGTCAACCGGGGCCATGTTCTTAGTTTTTCTTTCGGCCATTTATTATCGGTTACGTGCAAAAATAAGCTGTTACCGACGCTAGGCTGTTGCATGTCAAACGAGCGTTTTTTTGTGAAGAACTGCAAAGATTACAATCTATGACTCATGTTTTTTTATGGTAATATACTTGTTAGCTGTGAAAAATAGTATTCGAAGATTAGCAATAATTGACTTTTAAATACAATGGATAACTTGTTACGAAAGGTGTCAATGTTTTCTGAAGTATCAAGTACAACTGATTTATGGAGAAACCTGATATAAAACTATTCAATCAATCAACTTTCTATTCTATCTTGCTCACAATCGGTCGGACGCTTTCTCCTTTTTGAGTCTCGGTCATTCAACCGTACACGTGAATTCTGTGACTGAAATTTTGATTCGTATTTTTAATTCGCTGCAATTCTGTAGAACACTGCAATTCTGCAGTTCTGTAGAACACTTCGATGCTTTCAGATGGAATACAACAAATTGTGTTGTCAATCGCTGACTTTTAACATAAAGTATCCTCGTCGTAAAATAAAGATTCGATCAGGAAGAATCGAGTAATGTTTTCATTCGTACATCGTACCGACACAATTTATCCGTTTAATTCAAAAGCATTATGTATACAGCAGCGCCGTTCTAAAGCATCCCGACGTATCGAATAAATAAATAAGAGTATCCTGAAACGAATTCAGAGCCGTTGACTCGAGTTTTCAATCGCGTTTCGCGGAACGTGGCGAGAGAGGCAGCTACACGTGGATTTCTTGTATTCGATTATCCGTAAAAAGATTCTTGTTCTCCTTTCGGAATGCACTCTTCCTGTTTCCTCGCGAAAGCTTCCGCCGAGCACTACGTTAACGCGATCGACGTGACACGAATACGCATTGTCACTTTATAAGAAGAGCTTCCTGGTATCTTTCGCAGAAAATCACCATCGGGATACACAGCGGCGAGGTTGTGACCGGTGTTATTGGACATCGTATGCCGCGTTATTGCTTGTTTGGTAATACAGTGAATCTCACCAGTCGTACGGAAACCACAGGAGAACCGGGAAAAATAAACGTCTCAGAGGATGCTTATAGGTAAATTAAATTAATTTACATTAAATTAACTGTGTAGGATTTTAGGTTTGACTTAAAATTAAATTCTAATGTGTAAGTGTATAAAATTGGGACTGTGGCAATATAACGAGAGTGTGACTTGCTTTATCTTACGTTACAATGCATTAGACACTTCAAAAATAAGAAACCTCAAAGAAGTCAAATTATACAATAATTCCTCCGGTAATCAGGTTTCGAAATCACACATTTTTCTGCATGATTATGTGAAGTGTCTGTCGAAACGACAATAATCGACGTGTCAAACACAACAACGTGACAATGACATGTTTATCACGAATGTAATTCAATTACGCGAAGTCAGGAAAATGGATGCCTGACGAGTCATCATCCCTGTGGGAAATTCATTGGACGCCCGGGGATAAAATTTAATGCAAAACGGTAGTCGAAACGACTGCAACGCTTGTCAACTGATCTCTTGAGCGTTTAATGCTCTGATATCGTTGTTGTTCGTTGCGAGATTGACTGCCTTCAATTTACGCATTAAACTCGTTGCACAATTCATATACAGAACGACAGCGTAAAATGTCGAAAGGCAAATTTATTGCCTCCTCCCGGGAGTAATTTGCTTGTAACATTTTTGCTCCGACAAAATATGTCATTCTGCTAATATTTCACAATATATGCTCAGGAAAAATATAACTGCCAACGGAATTATGATTTCATTCGTCATGATTTATTTACTTATACTGCGTTGGGAGTACAATTTATTTTATTATTGTAAGTAGGATGGATGTAGGAGCTCGGGAGTTATATTGGGGATTTAGGGATGTCAGGATATTAGAGATCTAAATATTTAGGGATTACTGGGATATAGGGATCAGTACTTTCAGAATTTTTTTATTCTGAATTCTTCAAGTCAATTCTTGAATCTTTCAATTTCCAATTCGTCGAATTGGATTCTCAAGTTCTCACATTTCTGAATATCCAACTCCTCAAATTCCCAAAGGGGAATTTCTCAAGACCCCAAAGTTCAATACATAAGAGTATAAATAAATAAAGTATCACAGTTTACAAAATAATGAAGAAATCAATAAAATCGACAAGTTCCACTATTTCAACGACCGCCTCTGATATTAATTTTGAAGGAACTCATTACACGTCGCGGTGAATATCGTTCTCCCATAAACTTCGAGTAAAGTATCCGGGCAGAAAATTCGATACACCTGTGTCGAAGTTTACACGGTCATTTAGTTTATGGAATCTCTCTGGTTCGATCAGGAAGTTGGTCCGTTCATATGACCAACCGGAAACGCACAGTAACTTGTGAGAAAGTTTAAAACATTTTAGACGATGCTTACAAGCGACTGAATGTATTTCATGCGTCAAACTCTGCGAAACTGAATTCCCTTGGATCACGTAATCGATTACAGCTTTGCTCAAGTTTTAATGTATCGCAGAGTACTGTGCCTCCGAGTTTGTTACATTTTATTGAAAAGTTTGAAAAGGATAGATGTGACGTGAAAGCTGATTATTGTGTGAAATACAAGGCACTTTTAGTGTTGATGGGGGACATACTTTCTTTACAACTATCACACGATGATATATTAAAGTGTAGCATTGTTAGAAACTTATTTATAGGAGTCTTCATATTTTTATCTAAAATTCAATCTCCATCTGTTCAGATTTTCAGAGTTTGTTGATTTTAATCTCTTAAACATGCACGTATGAATGAAGTCTAAAACATGTGTATGTAATACCGTTCAACATAGGTACACTTTTATAGCTTGCATTGCCACTAGATGTTAGATAAATTGATTCGTATATAAAACATCAGAAAATATTCGACTTCAAAGTTCAAGATCTCCAAGTACATATTGCACAAGACCTCAATTTAAACATCCAATGTCAAAGAACATCGATGTCAAACCAGAACATAAAATCCCTCGATCTTCGCCTCTAAACCTTGAGTGTCACCCATAACCCAAAAATTCCGTGCGAGGAGACATTCCTCAGTCGTACAAGAGGTCCAGGTAGTTTCTCAACGACTCCGGAAGCTGTAATCGATGTATTCCATGAGGGAGTGCCCAGTTGTCGAAGAGAGTCTCCCGTATGCGGCATCGACACAGGTGTCTCAATTCTGGCGGGCTGAGCCCGCTCCTTTCCGGCGGTACCAGCTTCTGTTCGACCAAAGCTGGATACTGTTCGTAGAGTGAGATGCTCGTGACTCCGCTCTGGTCGGCTATGTGGCTGGGTGTCTTGACGAAGGCCGTCGTCACGGTTCTCAGCACCAGCCTGAGACAGAGCAACAGCTGTTCCGGGTATGCTGTCTCATCCTGGCCCGGTCGAGCCTCGTATTCGTTCAGCTTGGTGAGCAGCATCTCCAGTGGGGAGGGTGCCAGCTTGTCGGACTCGACCGAGGCCCCGTAACGGAGCATGATCAAAAGAATATCCGGGGCACCGTGTTGAATGGCCACTCTCAAGGGCAACGCCTGGCCGTACGACTCCATGGGAACGTCGATGAACCGCCGCTTGACGGGCGAAGACTCGCAACGATACTCGAGACGCCCGAGAGCCGCGTGGTTCAGGAAGTACACTAACGCTCGGATGTTCTCCTCGCGATCCTCGAAGTCGCTCTTCCAGCCAGACAGGAAGTGCGTCACGCGGGTACCGAAGATCGCGCCCACGAAGATACGCTCGAACGTCTTCTCGCAGTAGAAGATGTCGTTCAGCAGACGAGACACGATCTCGTTGTTCTTCAGCTCCCAGTCGAAACACAGCTTCGCGGCTACGTAGAGGACGTTGTGGAACTTTCCTAGCATGCACACGTACCCGTTCTCCATCATCGCGATGTTGTGGTAACGCAGGGCTGACATCACTATTCGCTCGCAGACGTCTTGTTTGTCCAGATTCTCCGCTGAAATTTTTTCAAAGATTAAATACGTTCAAGATTTACCCTGTGGTATTATCGATAGAATGTGATAATATATTCTTCAGATTGAGGATACTCCAAGTTTTCCATTCTTGAAGTCCCTTATTTTTCACATTCTTATGTCTACAAAAATTCGATGTTCTCAAGTTTCAGAGCTTCAAACTTCCAAATCTTTAAGCTCCCTACACCTAAATTTTTGAAGTTTTTAAATCCTTCAGACTACTCCCAGTCTCCGAATCCTCAACTTCCAAATTTTCAAAGTCTCTTAGCTCCAACTCCCCTCCAGTCTCATTCCCAAATTTTTAACTCCCCCAATTCTAAAACTAGAAACTTCCAAAGCCACAAAGATGGAAAACTCCTATATCTTATTGAAAGAAACCTGGGACACCTGTCTGCAACATTTGTCAGGCTTTACCATATTCACCAAAGAATCGTTCTAAATTTTTCTCTGTTAAGAAATAGTTTCGATATGTCAAGTTTTTCTTCACGATCGAGCGAGTTCGATGGCGTCGCTTGGATGCTTTGCATAATTTTTCGAAGAAAGTAAAATCGTATAGAAGTGGACGATGCACAAGTTTCTCCCGGGTCTAAAATTACACGGGATCACTTTCTTTCCGCCATTGCCGATCGAGTCACTTTCATGGTCACAGTGTACAGTTTTCTAGCGGATCATTGGACGAGCCCGAGGATCAGTGAATCGGAAACCGTGTCTAAAGCTATTCGAGATTATGCGAATCGATCTCTCGGAATCCCGTTAACCGTACGGTAAATCGTTCGGCAATGAGATAATTTCCAAAAACTCTGTTTCGTAAGGAGAGATTGTTACCTTCGGAACAGCTATTTATCACGTCTGAAAAGTAACCCACCATCTCGCGACGTTTGTATCGAGAGGCTAAGCAACTACGTTCCATTTCGGCGAACAGTTTATCGAAGTAACAATCTATCAACACTTCCATGTTTTTTTCTCAGAGAGACTTCGTCATACGGTACTTTTGGGAAAGAGTTATACTATCGCGACCATTGTTCACTTTCAAATGATAGTCGACACGAGGAACAACCGGGAAACGAGAGAGGACTAATTCGATTAGCTGTTAAATAAGTATTTCAAGGGCTTCTTTCCAACGTCCCCTTCGTGCTTGGCTACTTCTGCGACTCTGATAAAAACCAAACGTGTTCTATCGATCAGAAACGTTAGATGATTAGCGACGCCTAATAATTTATTTAATTTACCGTCTGTCCGTGGTAATAAATTAACCGGGTATTCGCAGCGATTGGGTTAACGAGTTGCATGGCATATTTTCCTATTGGTATACGGGTTAACAAGTTGTCCAAAGTGGAAACGAACATATGTACGATGCATGAGAAGTTTTATTAACGAGGATGTCATCGGCTAATTCTCAAGTTTCATCTTTTAAACTGACACATTGCCTTCTTAATGTAGTACTAATACGAAGACATTTTTATCATACAACATTTGATATGATGAATTTTAATTATTCTGTAAAAAGTTTCATATTAATGAATAGTAAAATTGTATATAAACAGTAAATGTTAAACTTGCACGTTAGTTACTTTATTTATTTATTGCAGGTATCTCTGCATGCCCGAGAACCAGGACCCCCAGTTCCTGCTGGAGTACCGAGGACCCGTGACCATGAAGGGCAAATCAGAACCCATGAACGTCTGGTTCTTATCCAGAGAAAGAGAACTTACCGCATAAACTGATCGTTACCATAAACTTACTGTCGTAGAAATAAAACAATTTAATTTTTATGACTCGTTATGTCATCGTTGTGCAAAATCCAAGAATAAGTCTCTGTATGTCTGCATTTGATAGAAGCAAGAAGATGAAATTAAAGTAAAAGCAGAAATCTCGAAGGAAAATTGTAATTGACTAGTGAATAATGTTATGGCGCAATAAAAGTTATCGGTTCTTTAATTAATGCTGCGTAGAGGAAATTTCCCTGGAACATGCTTCGCAAGCTATAAAATCTAACAAATAGCTCATCTAGTTTCATTAGCCTTTACGACGGTAATTGTCATGTTAATATATCACGTTAACGATATTACACGCTTTCTGTACCACTTAGGTGGCGATAGGTAATTTTGGAATTAGGTTAGGTTAGGTTAGGTTTGGTTGTTAGGTTTAATGGTTTAGGAATTTTGGTAAATGACACAATGTTTTTGAATCTAAGTGCAAGTGAGTCAGGGTAGTAAATTCGCAAGCTAGCGAGATGAAAGCGAAATTAACCACTGAGGTGTACACTAGGTTTCGATACGCTAAGTTTATGTAGTGACTTTACATTTTTAACTTCTCTGATTTTAAACTTGATAAGAGACACTGGTACAAAATTGTAGACCACTTACATTAAACGAAACTTCAACAATTCCGAGAATATTAATAGCTCTATTAACACTCTATCATATAATACAAAGTAACGAGAATCTTAATAGGCATCTGTGAACGCAGAAAATTCCGCAGAAATCTTCCAGCAATATCAGGAATTTTGATTGCAAAGATTTCTTCAAAATTGAAATACTAAATGTTCAACAGCTTCACTAGCCGGGGTAAAAATTTTATTTTCCAATTTTCCACTTCATTACGCATCTTCCTCTCTAGAAGTAGTTACTATGTATAACCTCGGACTTTTAATCGGTACAGTAAGTGTGACGGGTAAAAGCAAGTATATGGTATGCGGAATTTCTTTTCCCGTTTGGCGTCGCATCACGGAGGTCGTCGGTGAAGCACCTTACCCCTAAACGAGAAAAAAAGAAGGGCCATATAGACCCGATGGAATTCTCGAAGCTGGAAGGTGTAACGGAACCTGTTCTACTCCCCAACACGTCCCACGCACGTCGCAAGGTCAACACATCGAGGCTGCTGCACGATCACCGATACGACACACATTCCGACCACCATTTTTCCCTCTTTTCATACGAATATCTCAATACACGGAGTAATATTTCACGCTCATTAGAAACCGTTTATCTTGTTTCCGCTCGAACATGATTTCAACAAAACCTTGCGTTTCTGAAGGAATTTGAAGAAAAAATCTGCTGTCATCTGGGAAAACTGATCTCGAAAACTGCGTGCGAAAATTATAAAAACGTCTCGGAAATTATAAAGAAATCTGAGTTAAAAAGTTCACAAATTATGGAGGTTCTCTAACAACCTAATCTTATACAATCTAAGCACTTGTGATACAGTTTTGATTAAGAGAAAGGACTCTGTGCGACAACTCTAGTGAATGAAACTGTTGGAGTTCAGGTTCAATTTGATGCTCCAAAGTTTCATCAGTAAAATGTTTGAACGTTTTATTTGAGAAGTTGCAGACACAAGTGTTTTCGAGTACATTCTAATTAAATTGGAACCTGCTTGTCTAATTTGACCTGAGTTTGCAGTACGTTCGATTCGAGCGTATAAACGCGATTGTGCCAACATGTTGAAAGTACGAACGAGTTGTGTTCGCGTGAAAGTTGTTTGAAGGAGGAAATATAATCTTAAATCTGAGTTTTTTTGCCGTCTTTGAAATTATGTTACGCTTACTTTATTCCGAAATATACTTATTCTCGTCGGAGTGTAAAGTTATAATAAGAAGCTTGATTAGATAATTAAAGACGACCGAATAATTTTATTTAAGATGACCAAACGTGTCGCAAAAAGTCGATCTCGGATGTTTTAGAAGAAAAGTAGCTCATAAATCAAACACCTTTTTATATTTTCAGCAATTTTTAACGTAATTACGTGAATCCGTTTCAAGTACAGGTTTCATCTAACACGCAACAATCATTTATCATTTTCTTATCTTCGTTTTCTGAACTAAATGTAATTTAGTTTTTCGCGTAAAAACGCGTAGCATAACGATCTAATGAGGTGGATTTACGCTTTGTAAACTACTAATTCCGTGAGTTTACATTATGTAATTATCTCATTGTCAATAATCACCTATCCGAAAAAAAGGGTTATAATTCTACAAAATATACAGTTATCTGATACACAGAAGTGTGTGTGATTTACGCTTCGGTACAAAAAGAAATAAAATTACAAAAGCCATGTTACTAAACTCACTTGACAAAATGGAAAGAGAATGTTGAATGGAGCACTTGTAACATATGACCGAATCATTGCTATAAAGTAGTTACTCGATAAAACAAAAACAAAAGTCCTAATAAATACAGTTGTCTAAGTGTTAATACCTGAACACAAAGTAGGTAAGTAAATACACGTGTCTCCTGTTGAACTACAATTTATGGGGTATTGCTATCACGATCGAAACAAGATGAAAAAACAAGCATTCCCAGGAGTTTATATCGTGCTTTTCTACACACGTAGCTTGTTATTTTAACTGTTTATAAAGTCGCTTATTCAATCGCATGCCGCGGTAAGTGGTATGCAGAGTACAGGTTTCACGGCATGGAAAGAAAGGCGAACAGTAACCAACTGGTTTACCGGGTGAGGTATGTGGAAAATAAGGCCAAATAATAAGGAGTAAAAGAAACATCGGCTGTGTATGCCAATAACTGGGAACCTATGAAACCCTGATTTTAACCCTTGATCGCATCTTTGCTGACGCGGATGATTCAGAAGTTGGCAATGGTATGGTTAGATATGTAGACGTATAGACATTAAAGGGAGATTTATTTTAAATTGTAGTGGATGATATATGGCGCGGACTTTCTGAATTTCTGAATTTAAAAATTAGTAAATTTCTAAATTTCCAATTTTCTCAAACTTCTCAAGCTTCTCAAGCTCCCAAGCTTCCAAACTCCCAAGCTTCTAAATTCCCAAGCACCCAAATTTCCAAGCACCCAAACTTCCACGCACCCAAACTTCCAAGCACCCAAACTCCCAAGCACCCAAACTTCCAAGCACCCAAACTTCCAAACACCCATACTTCCAAGCATCCAAACTCCCAAGCACTCAAATATCCTAAGCACCTTAACTTCCAAGCATCCAAACTTCCAAGCACCCAAACTTCCAAGCACCCAAGCTCCCAAGCTTCCAAACTCCCAAGCACTCAAACTCCCAAGCACCCAAACTCCCAAGCACTCAAACTCCCAAGCACCCAAACTTTCAAGCATCCAAACTCCCAAGCACCCAAACTTCCAAGCACCCAAACTTCCAAGCATCCAAACTCCCAAGCACCCAAACTCCCAAGTCCCCAAGCTCCCAAGCTCCCAAACTCCCAAGCTCCCAAACTCCCAAGCTCCCAAGTCCCCAAATCCCCAAATTTCCAAATCTCCCCGTCCCTAATTCCACAACTTTCCAAATCCCCAAGTTCCCAAGTCCCTGATTGCCCAAATCCTCAAATTTCCAACTCCCCATCTCAAAATCCCAAAATTCCAAACTCCCCACATTCCCAAACCCCCAAACTAAATTTCTAAATTCCCACATTTCTATCGATCCAGTGAAACGACTGTACAGGGACGTTATGCGACGAACGGTAAACTAGGGGTGAGTCCGCAAGGGTTGAATATCGACAGTCGATAAATACTACTTCCCCAACACAACAATTCTGTATTTTCAACTTCCGTAAACATTTCCTACTTAAAAAGCGACAGTTCCACAATCGATTTCTACTTATTTGAATAAGCACATCCGTGTCTGCTTACCGTGAATCGACTTGAATTAGCGTGACATTCTTTTGCTCTCAAGTTATCCGGTGAAACGTGTAAGCAGGAAGATAAATCTGTCGGGAATTGAAGGCTCGTAAGATACAAGAAATTTGCAAACTCATAAAACACGTGAAATAAACTTGAGTTTCATCAAAACATGCTGAATAACAAATTGTTGAGTAGATTGAATACAGCGATGAAAGGTAGAAGAGTTTGAAATTTATCTAATGATGAGAAAATATCGATCTGTCTCTCCGGGTAAACGACCTATTAGTGAAACAGGCATGTTTCCGTCTACAAAGTTAGCACAACAATAATAAATGAGATTACATACATAGACGTCGATAGAGGACTTTGTTCATTATACCACGCAGGTCTGGGTAAATAAGATTAAATGTATTGAACCCGTAACATTCTGTGTACGAAGTACTCGAAGGTCTCTCTAAATGAGACTAATATACAAGTTCAATATAGTTGGCGATTATGCCGACGTATTGAAAGGTCAGACATCGCGGAAATTAGCTTAAACAGTATGGAGTACCATCGGCAATTACTGCAACTTAGTGACCGTCTATTGGAAGCGAAATTCGAATGTTGATATACCAAAGACTAGTTCGAAATAAAATTAATTTTTACAGTAGCCGAATAATTGAAAGTATAAGAACAATTGGAATACTAATTAATGTGCCATAGGCGAGAGAAGCAAAAATAGTCGTTGAACAAAAACTAGATATCCATAAAAAATAGCAGGAATAATGGAGCACTAATTACTCGTTAATTATATTTATAGCTCCCATTATGTTGCATTCTTATTCCAGACCTTACAACCTATAATTCCCAGACCGATTCTTCAGGTTCTCCGAACAGGTTGTAGTTTCATCGTGTCAGCCTGATCCTAACCTCGAACGCTTCTCCTTTTTCATCCCGGTGTTGAGATCACCGTCGACAGGGTTGCCGACAGCGCATGGAGTTCTCACGTAGCCACCTGTTCAAGTGCATGCAACAAAGATACCGAAGCAAAATACATTTGCTCATTTTTCAATCAGAGCCTTATCCTTGGTCGTTCCGCGCATATCTTCACGAAGGTGCTTCCTCGATGATCGTACAATTAACTCGGCATATTTGAACAAAAGTAACGATCAGAATTTTCTGCTGGAAAAAATAAAAGTTACCGGTGCAGCAACCAAGCGTTGATGAAACATAAACATCTCCTGCGAAGAATTATGCTCGTTCTGCTTTCCCGCAGAAATAATTACACGCTCGTTTGTGACGCTTACGGGCAACGCGATGAAACGGAAGGGAACAAAAGAGAATCGAGTTACGCAACTGGCGCACATCCGATCGTTTCCGCGATGCGAGGAGAAAATTCGCGAGTCCGTGGATGCATCGTTTTCCATTCACGAAGCCATTCATGCGCTCGAGTCACCTTCGTAACACGGACGCTAGAACGTTCAGCGAGCGTTCCGGTGTTGGTGAAATTTCGGCAGGTGTAGGCCCAGGGGATCAGGTACACGAGGTCGTTCGTATGCCCGGCCACACGGACGCACGAACACGAGAAAGCCGGTGAACGGTAAAGAACAGGTATTTAAATGAGATACCGGACAGTCGATTCTACCTGGCTCGGTAGAGGACGCCACGTCTTCCTCGGCAAGTGCTTACGTGCCAGACGACTTCCAGGACCCGTTCTCGTCCTTCCTTCTTCACGGTACCGCGTCTCTGTCGCTCGTTCCTCGATGCACGAGCTACCCAGCTCTCGTCCTTTCACTCGCCTGTTCGCTTGTTCACTCGCACCTCCCCACGGCTGCTTATTTACCTACTCACACATGCACCATTCTTTCACTCGCTCCCTCATTCACTCGCATACTTGCTGATTTTCTCTCGCTCCTTCGATTGTTCTCCTTCTTTGTCCCGCGCTATGCTGTCCTCCCGTGTACATACGCGTGCAGAGATCTCTTCTCGATTAAAGGGATGTCGATAGACACTATTTGTCCGATCTATTTACGTTTTCGTCGATTGTAAGGGTGATCCTCAGGGGCAGTGCCATAAATTCATCCTGGTAGTCCACCACCCTTCCGCAATACAGGTGGATTATCATACCTATGTACTTTGATATGCATTTGATGTTTGTTCACAGCACAGTAGACATAATACCATGTAGACATGGAAGCAACGTTTGTGGGGCGTCAGTTAGCTTAACCGAGTTACTATGCCTATTGAAAAATCAGTTTATTCATCTTTCTTACAGGTTCATTCTTTATAGGTATGACTAACTGTCTCAGCATCTGCACCTCCTCCTCATCATTAGTCAGCCTATGAATCAGCTTTCAAGATTCAGCTTTCACTATGTCATTCAATTTTGTATCTCAGAAAGTTTGAAACATAGCCTGGAAAGTTTGAGACTTCAGCAAAGCTACAAAAACATGTCCACTGAATGCATCAAGGAAAAACGGAAAACATCGAAGAAAAGTCATCTATGCACGCGCGTGTACACTCAGACTGGCCCATACTCGCCCCACCATAACCCGAAGACCCAGCCGCCGTTCCCACTCCTTTAGTTTCGCCGTACCCCGTCGCGAGGCCCAACCTGGTCCCCACCTAAGCAACGAAACTGCATGAGTAAGTGTCAGAGGCACTCAGTACAGTTACTGACGGCCCGTACCGTGAACGATAGCCGTCGTCGTCGACCGTCGCCGTCGTCGTCCACGCTGCTGTTATCGTAGACAGCGTCGCATAGAGTCGTGTTCGTTTTACCATGAGTTGCTCTCGATAAACATATATGCAGTCAGTAAGTGGTGGTACTCGCTCTCTCTTTCTCTCTCCAGCTGTTCTTCATCGCTTTCGTACTTCGGTCTCTTCCTCTCTTCGTCGTTCTAACCGCGTTGTCCCCGGGGACGGATTTTCTGCGACTCGCGTGCAGCGTCGCGAATGTTTGCAGGTGTTTTGTATTCCGCGCGAACCAGCCTCCTAGAAGGACGTCCCCCGAGTGCCGTAAACACGACACGATAACGATAACGATCCTCGATGAGATGCAGTGCTTTCTTTCGTTAATCGGCTATTAGAGCTTTCGAAATTCGATTATGATCCCGTGCTCAGTGTGTACAATATGTTTCGCTGAACGCCCAGTTTCTCCGTGTACGATTTAAAGCGTGAAACATTCACACGGTCACGTAGTAGACTAAAGAATCAGCTAGCTCCAAATCGTACATCCCGCGCGGACAACTTGTTGCTCGTTTGCCGAAAGTAGTGACGTATTTGAACCGTTTGTATGAATTCGAAGTAAAGTTCACCTAGTCCCGCCTTACCCTGAACGTATCCTAAGGACAAAGAGTGAGAGAGAGAAAGAGGATCTTTTAATTGATAAGCAGGTGTAGCTCGTGAACGAAGTGACAGTGTTCTCGAATGTGTATATGAACGAGGTCGTCACGATGACCGTTCCACCGACACTGCCGGCGAAGACTCAGCCCCGGGACCCGAGTCAGGTTGCCCGACAGACTGTATCAATCCGGACTGTTTCCAGTCCCCCCACAGCTACTCTGAGCACCGGGGCCGGAGCAACGGTATTTGTCGGACTCGCAGCTCCTGGTGTCGATTCCGCGACTGCCTGTAGGAGAAGAATCCCGGAAGTGCAATCCGCGAACGGCTACGGTAAGCAGAGCACCGTGAAGTCGGCGCAGAGCCTAGCCAGTCAGCAACAGCAGCACGGACAACAACAGCAGCAGGCGGCACACGTGGTGAAGATCAAGATCAATCCGGATGGTGAGAAGAACGGAAGGGTGATATCGACCGTTCGATTGACTCTGGACGAGAACGTCGTCGGCCACGAAGCCGAGCAGGAGAACGGGATCGCGATCGCGTGCGAACATTCGAGCAAGCGTGACGGTGGTGTGGTCGTGAGTGCGACAAATCTGGAGAACGTGCAGCGTTGTGGAAGTGCCGGTGCCGGTGAAGGCTGTGTGAGGATCAGTGTTGGCTGCAACGCTTTCGAACGCAACAACAACATCAACAACAACAATAAAGACAAGCGCAATCGGAACGACAGCTCGGAGAAAGACATGGTTCACCGGGACACCTCGGAACCCTTGAATACCACCTCCGCGAATAACCGTTCTTCGAGCGCTTGTTTCTATTACAACTCGTATCCCAGCCATTTGAACGGGATGGTGATGTCCAGCGGACAATGTTCGCCCAGCGACACCCTGGACAGCGGTACGTGCAGCGACCTAGACGGTACGCCACCGCCTCTTCCCAAAAAGAAGAACTCCAGCACAGTCATATTAGCCAGCGAACAACACAATCGAACTGGAAGTCTGACCAGCAGTGGAGCGGAAGTGGACAGTGACGATAACGAGAGCAACATCAGCTGCGATTCTTTGAACGCCGGTGACTTGAACGACAGAATAGAGGAAATCAACGGCAACTCGAGCGAGGCCTTGAATTTTCGAGGACACTCGGAGAGTCATCTGGAAAACGGGCTGCAGAGTCGTCAGAAATATCGGGAAACCGATGACGTTCCAAACTTGAACCAATTAAACCTGTCGAACGAGAACAAGGAACGCATCATGGCTCCGGAAGTCCAATCAAATTCTTGTTCGATCAGAGCATCCCCCAGCGTGTCCCCGTCGCCGTCCGCGGCATCTTCGCTCTCGAAAGCGTCTTCCACACCGAGAATGAGGAGTCCGGAATTGACGAGCGAGCCAAATGGCAGGCTATCGTCGCCGGTGGTGAAGGAATGCACGTACGAGGAGAGGAAACAGGAGCAGGAGAGGATAGGACAGGAGTCCGTTGCCGGTGACGTTGACACGAGCATCAATCCTGTGACCGGCAAGAAGTACCTGTACGAGTACGACAGGTTCTACAAGTTTCACGTGAACGAACTGAAAGGAAACAACAAGGACACGAACAGGGGTGTGGTGTTAGGAGATAAGGATACCGACGAATGTTTCGCCGGTTACAAGATCCTCGAAAAGGAAGCCATTCGCAGTGCCAAGGGAACAGTCCGCGGTGTCAAGAACAGGGTACGAGCCGGTATCGCGACGTTCCTTCAAAAACCCTCCTCTCAGGTTGGTATAATTCGCTTCGTTGCTTTGCTCGATTCTACTCCGCGAACGATTCCTGGAATTCCTCTTGCGTGCCAATTAACGGACGATCACGACCGCTCAAGGAATGCTAAACAGATACGCAGGGAAGCGAATGAAAACTTTAAATTAAGCGATGTTTATCTGGACTCTAGACCGTAGTCTTTACGGAACATCGTTTGCTTTCAGAGTTTAAAAAACGAAATAAACAAATAACTTGTAGGATATGAATTTCAGGGTCGTATCAGTATATTTGGTAAAGCGAATATCGACTAGTAGATACAAGGTCTCTCTTGCAGTCCCCCTAAGCACGAGTCATACTCGTAATAATATTCCACGACATACCCGTAACTAAAGTACGTAATTCGTTCAAAGTACGTTACATCGTAACAAAACCTAACCGTACTTTCGTACAAGAAAAGTCATGGATCGTTGCCTGTATAAACAAAGATGCTGAAAAGCTAACAGGTCGTAAAGCAATTTACGGACTGTCGCGAAAGCTTTCCATTATTACGGTTGACAAAACGGCCTGGTCAGCAGATCGCTGTAGAAAATTGCGACAAAGACTTTGAAGCGAAGCGTCCATCTAGTTCTGACATGCCTCAAATATGACGGCGGTATAGAACCGGTAGGTCAGGCGCGAACGTCGGGCGTCGATTTGTTATGCAAATCAGTAGCTGACACCGTGATCAGCCGACGAGGCTTTCAACACGTTCGGTCGAATAGTATCGAATGGCAAGTTCGATCCTGTCGATCGACCGGAGTCCTATTTACCCGTCTCCGATACACTCGATTCGCGACCCCGACGGTGCTGGGTCGAAGCGAAAAGCGTTAGATTTACAGTTAGATCGGCTGCGTCCATCGACGACCAGTTTGGGCTCGACGTTGACTGGCGTCGATCGATGACGTAGCTGTCGAGTCCCATGTGGTCCCATTGCAAAGGTTTCCGGTGTTGCCAGGCGAGACAGCAGCGTGGTGCATAGAACGCCGGCGAATCGTACACACCGTCGATGCAGAACGGATCGACATAACGGTAGATCCGATAAAGCGATATTACGGCAACGTGCCGGAGAACGTGCTCGTTGTACCTAGCCGCAAACCGGTCCTCTTTCTTTGTTGCCGTGTTCTTCTTTCGCCTTTTTTCCCTGTCCCTTTGCACACCCTGCAACCTGTGTCTCACCCGGATTTTTCCGTCTACACGCGCATCCCTTTCGCGCGTGTATGACCGCGCCGTCTATTTCGGGAAATTACAAACCGAGAGAGACGGAGCACTCGGTCGCGCGCGCATTTCCTCTCAACTGGTAATCGCGAATTCGCCATACCTTTCACCCTTGGGAGCTCGCGTATTAACTCGATCGATGAGTTTTCCGGGAAGGTGGACGTGACTTTACCGGATTCTTGGGTTCCGAATATTTCCAAGGAAATTCTGCGAAAGAGGAGAAAGCTTTCGAAGAAAATTTACATTGCATCTGGGTTAGAGTTATGCTACTTTGTTAGGAAAGGATTTCTTCAGACGAATGGCACTTTGCCACGCGATAGATCAACACGTTCACTGTACACGCTATGGAAATTACTCTACATTAATATTATTAACATTACGGATTTAAAGGTCGGAGTCTTTAGTTTGAGCACACGGAGGTTTGTAAACCGAGAAATCTGGAGTTCAAAGGTTGTAGACGTTTGAGAACATCTGTAGATGTTTGAAGATGTTAGTATGCGGGGGTGTAAGGATCAGATGCAGAGATCTGGAAATGTAAGGTCACGGAATGTAGGGATTGGATCAAAGGATCTGGAGATGATAGTTTTGGAGGTCAATGTTCCTGCGGCTGTAGGTGTCTGAGGACTCACAGATCTGCGGATGTGGAAATCTGGGTTCTGGGAATCTAAACATCTGGATATCTATGAATCAGAGAATGTGAAAATGTCTGATCACCCATCTAACACCCATCTGAAAAAATATAGGAACTTGTACACCCAACATGACTATCATTTAGTTCCCACGTATTGTGTCAGCAAACGTCGCATCGCATAAAAATCCCCAAGAAGTCTAATTTCCAAAAAAGAACGGTGTGTTTGAACGTAAATTCGAAATTAAGGTTGACCAACTCTGTTACTTATTCAAGTCCACATCTCATCGCGTACACGCGTCGAAGCATTGACGCAACAGTGGTCGTCAGATTGTACAATATTCGCCAGCAAAGCGACGTAATGACCGCGTTTCGCAATGCGTTTCTTAAAACCTTCTCGCAACAGGTACATTTACGGGAGTCATTTACTTAGCGACAATTTTCCGCGGTTTCTTAACGCGTTTCATTAGCGGCGAGAAGAAAAAAGGGGAACGCAACGTTACGGTCAATGTTCTGACAGAACGAGCGAAGAAGGAATATCTCTCAGGTTTAGATTAGAGGACTCATTCGGTGAGAAGTAATCTGTGGCCACCGCTGTTGTAACTGTACCCGTTTTTCTGACCGTAGAAAAATGAGATCACCAGGTATGCAATTCGTTTCTTTATTCGATGGTACACGAAATCCGTTGCGGTTGTGCACAGAACGCGGTAACATTCTTAATCTCTCGTGTTACGCATAAATTTCGTTGTTATGTAGTCGGCTGGCTGCTGAGACGTTTATCGCGTTTTTTATTATCTCGTACGCGATATTAATAGCTGGACTGTGGTCAGGGTTATTGATAACAATCTATGTGGTGCATGTAGGTGGATAATTAATTGTTTGTTTACGACTTCAATTCTATTGTATTAACAAGACCAGCTGTGATACCGCGAAACTTTTAGAGAAAATCTAGCATGTTGAGTAGGACGGGTCAGCGCTGCAAATTCAGTTAAATTAATTATTTGCAGGAGAAGAAACTTTTGAGGAATCTGAATGAGACAATGGTATACACTAACAGATTCAAAGGTGACAATCATCATATAAAGAATGATTCGACATAAATAAGTAGATTTATGGGTATAGGTAATCCGGAGATATGAAAATCTTGAACTTCATAAATTATAAAATCTCGAGATAATATTTAATATATACAGACCCTTAGAATCCGTGTAATAAATCGTCCGAGATCTCCATAAGAATATTCCACTGTATTACTAAATTCCATTATATTGCCAACTCCGAAAGCGTACCATCCTGGCAATATAATGAGAGTCTCCCGTATTTTAAGCTGCAAGTTCCCCGAACAGTCGTAATTCACTAATACCAAAGTCCAAGTTGTACGATACAAAGTTCGAGGAGAAACAATTTATCGACGACCCAGATAACCAATCGTTTCGCAGTGAAAGATCCGTGCCGCAATCTCGGTCCAGCAGTTCGATTCCTTTTCTCTCGATAAATCATATTTGCCACTTCGATTCAGCTGCTGTTATTTCAGCCGCATTCGTCGGTTTCTAACCGGCATCCTGAATCACGGTAAAAGCCAGAACGAAGAGATTCCAGTAGGCAGCCTTGCGATGAGAAAACGCGGGATAGGAAGTCACGTGGTTACTTCCGCGTAGCTAACAATATGAAAGCAACGTTAGATATCGTCGCTGACATAACAGAGCACGTACGAACGGAAACCGCTGTCGTAATTTCCTGGTGCACGAAGCCGCTTCGCGGTATCGGGATGCATCTGGATGCTTCTCAGGCCTCTCTTATCACCGCTATCCTGTGCGTTATCGGTCGTATTATGCTAACGATGTGTCGGTTACGGTTTTAGAATCACCTGCTACTGATACTAGAGTTCTGGTATTCGATTTGGTGAAACTGGAATTTGGGAATTTGGGAATTGGGGAATTTAGGAAATTGGAAATTTAGGAGACAGGGGATTTAGGAGATGGGGGATTTAGAAAATTGGGAATTTAGGAATTTTGGAGTTTAGGAATTTGGGGATTTAGGGAATTGGGAATTTAGGAAATTGGGAATTAGGGATTCGGGGATTTATGAGATGGGGGATTTAGGAAATTGGGAATTTAGGAATTTTGGAGTTTAGGAATTTGGGGATTTAGGGAATTGGGAATTTAGGAAATTGGGGATTTAGGAAATTGGGAATTAGGGATTCGGGGATTTAGGAGATGGGGGATTTAGAAAATTGCGAATTTAGGAATTTGGGGATTTAGAAAATTGGGGATGTAGGTATTAGGGATTTAGGAAATTGGGAATTTAGGTATTAAGGGTTTATGAATTGGGGATTTGGGTATTGGGGATTTAGGTATTCGGAATTTAGGTATTGGGGTTTAGGAATTTGGGGATTTAGGAAATTGGGAATATAGGTATTGGGGATTTAGGAAATTGGGAATTCAGGTATTAGGGATTTAGGAAATTAGGAATTTAGGTATTGGGGATTTAGGAATTGGGGATTTGGGTATTGGGGATTTAGGAAATTGGGAAATTATGTGTTTGGGGATATAGAAAATTAAGAATTTAGGATTTTGGGGTATAGTACATGCGGAACCTGAAAATTTAAAAAATTGGAAATTTTTAATTTAACTATTTAGTAAATATCTATTCAGAAAATTAAATAGTAACAAATTCTAAGAACTCAAGAAATTGAAAATTTCTTAATTTAAAAGTTTAAGAAATGTCCCTTCAAAAAATCAAACAATAAAAAATTCTAAAAATCCGAAAATGTAAAACAGATATATAAATATTTAATAATCATGCAACTGCACGTAAGACACATAAATGTTCCTGTAGCAAGATATTTGCGACACTTTCCAACAACTTTCATTTCGTCCGTACACCAATTTAGCTTACTCCAATTATGTAACACACACTTCACCCCATTGATTCCGGCTTAAACATGAAATATGCAGTGGCACGCTAGAGCGTAGATACGCAGCCAAATACCACGTTGCACGTGCTTGTTTCGCGGCTTTGCGAACGATTAAACAACATTACAGGTGTAATTAAAACGTCGAGGTCCTAGCGATCGAATTATCCTGTTTCGGAATGCGTCCATTAAATTAAGGTCCCCATGGCACGCATACTGGACAG